GGGGACTGGAGGAAGGAAGTTCAGGAGGCCATGGGCAGAGATGACTTGGGTTCAGGCACTCTGAATTATCTACACCTGGGGTGTGATGGGACAGCACAAGGCAATTGTGCTTTTCTCACTCAGTGCCCACATTTATCTGGCTACCCCTTCAGATCTGAGTCCTCCTTTTGTCTCATGCCACTTCCCCTAGATCAGGGTAAATTCCCAGTGCCCCCTTTGCCCTCTAGCCTTCCTGAGGCTGGTAAAACTGATCTCCTAGCACTCCTGGCTTTTTCTTCTCTGGATCCTAGGCTTTCCTGGTAATTGGTAAACAGCCTATTAAGCTGATTAGTGCAGTGTAATTAGAGATGGGAAAACAGAGGCCAGAGTGCTGGTAGGGGCTCCCCGCCCCCCACCCCCACCTCCACTGAGGCAGAGCTCCCCCAGGGGCAGGTTGATGCAACTTAGACTGACACAACCAGACAGGGCTAGAGTCAAGAGTTTGGGATGAAGAGTGAACTGAGGGTCAAAATCACAGCTGCCAAGTTCCCAAGAAGCAAGAGCTCCTGGTGGTTTCAGCCCAGAGCCCCAGCCTAGCTCAAAGAGGACAGCTCTAGAGACATTGTCATGGTATATATTACGGGAAGGTGGATGCTGAGGTTTAAATAAGAGGAGGCGGTCTACAAGACCACTTTGGAGCATGGAGATTGAGAACCCATCTGCTAGTGGACTTTGCCTGGTAGTAATGCCAGGGTCCTGTGATTTCCAGGAGTATTGCTTCCCCCCGGGGTTCACCCAGCCCACTGTGGTCCTCTGTGGGGAAATGAGGACAGTATGAAAAGGAGTTAGGGACGATCTCCTGGGGAGACATTCAATGATGTGGCATTCTCAGTTGCCAGCATTAGGTACAACCTTGCCACAAATGAGAGTGAGACACTGTCCCAGTTGATGAGTTAGGGACTGTCTAACTTGAGGCATGGAATTAGAGGGAGCCCCTATTTCCAGCTGAAGGATTAACAACTGTCAAACTGAGGATTTTAGAGACCATCCCATCCCTGCTGGGGAAGGGGAGAATTAAAGTCTATTCTAGTGCAATTGAAGGGGCCAGGCTGACTCTAAGAGGGCTAGGGATCATCCTTTCTCAGTTGATAGATTTAAGGACCCTCAGTCCATTCTCTCCCCTCCCAGAAGCCTGGCCACTGCACCCAAATTGGTGAGGAGTGTATGTCTTTGGTTCATCTTTTATAGCCAGCGTCCTGCTGAGCCCTATATTTGAACCCAAACCCTGAACTGAAGTTGGTAGTTAGAGCAAAAAGGAGTGGGGGAGAGATGACAAGAGGAATGGAACCATTAAAAGAGAGTTTCCTTGAATCTGACCTCAGGAAAATCTCTTCCCAGGTTACTGCCCTCATTGGACCCAGGGTGGAATCTCCCAGACCATGGCTCTCTCTCTCTATGGTGCGGATTTAAAGGTTTATGGAATCATAGATTCAGAGCTAGAAGAGACCTTGGAGGTCTTCAAATCCAGCCCCTTTATTTTACAAATGAGGAAACTGAGGCCCAGAAAGGGCAAATGACTTGCCTAAGGTCACACAGTAATGGAGCTGGGATTTGAGCCTGCTTCTCTTGACTCCAAATCCAAGGATCATGCCAAAGCAATGATAAGTGGGAAATTAAGGTTGATTCAATCATTTCATTAAACATTTATTAAGTACTACTAGGTGCCAGGCACTGTGCTAAGCACTGGGATATAATTGAGGAAATGAAAGGTGACTCTCTGGCAATCTACTGAGAAGGATTGTGTACCATTGTGGGAGAAGGAACAGCAGCAACTCGGACCCCTAAATATGGCATCAGGATAGATTGAGGGAGGGTAGCTCAGCCTGGATGAGGGTATGGCATGGAGGGGAGGGGCTCTCTAATCTGAAGTGAAGGATATACCAATGCCACAGGACACTGACCTGGCTGACTACTTATTGGCTGTGCTGGGGGGTGATTTTTCTTCTAATAAGAGTTTGGACTGGATGGTCACTGGGGTCCCTTCCAACTTCTGTGATATCCTAGCTGCTGCCAAAGGTACTGCCTCTCTCCCTCCCAAGCATTACCTAAAGAGGTGGAGGAGAGGGGCTCCCCGTGTTGGCTGGACTAGTCCCCTGAACATGGTAGGAGGCAACAGGTGTGGCCCACGAGGGCCAGGCCTGGGGAATTGGGCATTCATCCCACTGGCCTCCTCACCATCCCAGGGGCATTTGCCAATGGCTGCCCCACCCTCCTCATCTCTGGCCTCCTGCCAGTCCCTATGGCAGGGAATTGCCCCCCATCCCCATCCTAGCTTCTGTCCAGCCCCCTTCCCACTACCCCTGTCCTTCCTTGGTGCCCTTGCCCCACCCCCACAAGGATGCTTGTGGAAAAGGGGGGGGGGAGAAGCTGGTCAGGCAGGCTTGAGGGAAGGAAGGAGGAGGAGGAGAATGAGGAGGAGGAGGAGGAAAGGAAGGTCATGGGGTGGGGCTGACCCCAGCAGGAGGTCACCAGGGCTGTTAATCCAGCCTGACTGCGGGCCCTGGGATGAGCAGGGAGGTATTAGGGAGTTTACAACATCCTTTCATCCTGCAGGCTGCCTACCCGCCCTCTCCTCCTTTCTTTCTTTTCCTTTCTTTCCTTCTGCCTTTTTTTTTTCATTCCCTCCCTTTGCTGGCAGCCCAGCCCTAATAAAATGCAGTGTCTCCAGCAAGTCTGCCCGCCTGCCGCCTCACTGCTGCTCCCACCCGCCTGCACGCAGCCCTCAAACCAAACTGCTCCACTCAAGCCCCGCCTGGCAGCTGCCACCTTAACCCTTGCCAACCCAGCTTGGCGAGGCCTTGAGATTTCCTTCTCTCCTACCACTTCCTGGAGGGTCCTGCTAGGCCTGTCTTAGGATTTCTGAATCCTTCAGCATGTGTGTGTGACCTCCATGAGTGTCTGTGCATGAGCACCGTGCATGTGCCTGGGAAACAAGGCTCTGCCTCTAGTTATGTTTGTGTTTCTTAGATGAGATGACCTCAAAGATCCCTTCTAATCATAAAATCCTATAGGTGTGTGTATGTGTGTATAATATAGTGGTGTTTCTTGGGTTTGTGTGTACATCTGAGCCTACATGTGAGGCTGTTGTTTCCACATGTTTCTAGGTGTATGTGTCTCATGTGTCAATATCTCTCTGTACTTGTGGGATGTTGCCATTTATCTGGTGTGTTTGTCCATGTGCTTCTACATCCATGTGTGTGCTGACGTGTGTGCACATATGTGCACATCTGCATCTAAATCTTGTCGCTCTGCTGCTGTTTTGAGTGTTTCTGTGTTTGGGATGATATGTGTGTGACTCTGAATGCTTAAATCTGTTGGCGCTGTGCTTTCAGTGTTTCTCTGTGTGTGTGTGTGTTGGTATGTGGTGGTATGTGAGTTGCCCGGTGTGAATGAGTCTGACACATCCCTGTTGCTTGTTTTGTGTTTCTATGTCCGTACACGGCTGCAAGACGGTTCTGTGCCTCTCTACATGTTTGCATGGGAGAGATAGATTGCTGTGTTTCTTGGCACACGAGACTCTGTGATGCGATGTTGTTGAACGTATGTGTACGTGTTCATGACTCTTGGTCCTCAGCGTCCAGCTGCCCGGTGAACTCAGTGCCTTCTTCATCCAGCTGCACAGCTTCCTTTGAAAGGCCCCAGAGCTTGGGGGCTGAAGAGGGTGGAGGTTATGTTGGGGAGGGAGCGGGGCACCCAGCCAGCCCAGAAGACTGAGAGGTGGGAAGCGGGGAGGCCAGTAGCCCTGGCCCTGGTCGTTCAGCAGGAGAGGGTTCTGAGTCAGGGCTTGGTTCTCTCCCGGGGAAGGTAAACAGGGAACCCACCCGCCTTCAGACATTAGGTCGTTTGTTTATCTCCCGTCACCATTGCTATCCCCAGTCCAAGTCCCATTTGCCTGGGGTCCCTGCCAGCAAGGGAGGAGGTGAGGGGAGCTGGAGAGGGTGCCCCTGTCTTTAGCACCCTCCTTCCCCCAAACTGGATGCTCAGCTAGACCAGATACCAGCCCTTTAAGATACAGGGGGTGAGGGGCTACAAAAGGGGGAAGGGACAATGGGGTAGGGAATGCCTGTGTAAGCACATCTGTCAGGAGCCAGAGATCAAAGAGCAGCCCTCAGGTGACCCTGCAGCCAACAGAGCAGAGGCAAGCTGCCTGGCAGGGGACGCCACGCTGAGTGGAGTCCCTGGGGCCCTGCCTGCCCAGGGCATCGGCCTGACACGGGAAGGGGGGGGAGGTCAGGGAGAAGAAGGAGACTGGCAAACATAGGCTCTGCTTACTGCTCCCATGAACCTGCTACTTGTGTGACCTTAGAAACAGCCCTTTGCTTCTCTCAATTTTCTTATCTGTAAAATGGGTGAAGATCAGAATAGAGATTTTTAACTTGGGGCCCACAGAACCATGGATAGATTTGGGGGGTGCTGTGAATTTGGATGGGAAAAAATATATCTTCTTTTTTACTAAGCTTCCAGCTGAAAATGAGCAATTTCTTCAATTAAAATTTTTAAAAAATTCTTTAACCAGGGGTCTAAATACTTCACTAGACTACTAAAGGCATCTATGACACACACAAAAAATTTAAGGATTCCTGGTCTAGATGATCTTAAAATCCCTTCCAGCTCTAAATTCTATAACCTAATAAATTTTTGACCTCAGAACTGAGGTCCCCCACTGCTACCACTGGACTGGGGTGTTCAGCCCCAGAGCAAAGACAGGATGTAAGAGCCCAAATCCAAGCACCAGGGTCCTTGCTTTCACTGGCACAGGGTGACAACTCACTAGTTTTGACATGGGGAGAAAATACACAGGAGATTACCCATTATTAACACTGGTGCCACCTTCCCTAGAAAACCCTTTTCCCCTCAAGCCAGGGATGATCAGTTCTGCAGTCCAGGGAATGAGTCCTTTATCCCCAAATTCCTCTTCCCAACCTTCCAGTGGGCTAGTGGCTAAGCCATGAGCCTTTAGATTCAATTTTTTTTTATTAATATCAGATATAAAGATGGGTCCAGTAAGAAAGCACAAAGAAAAAGGAGTATAGTATGGTAGGGGGAGTGAAGGGGAAGCTGGCCAGGGCCATGCTGTCTCCTGGGGTGGGATTCCCAAAGACTCACATATCTCCTAGCCTACCCACCCATCCCTGCTCCGACCAAGCCAAAATCCACCAGGAGCCAACAACCCCGTTCTCTCAGTTCTACACACAGCAAGATCTGTACAGGAGGGAATAGTCACATAAATAGGAAACCACGGCAGGGAGGAGGTGGCTTCTTTCTCTTAAAAAAATATTATATATGTATATGTATGTACATATACATCTCTACAGTATTTGGGTTCCCCCCTTTCTTTGGTGTTTTACCACAATAAGAGTAGGAGGAGAGATGGCTTTTGAGGTCCCTGGGGGGAGGACGTAGAGTCCCAAGGTACCCCTAGCCCAAGAGGAAGGAACTGAGCCATCCTCCCATCCCATCCCCCTTCTCTTCCCTTTTACTGAGCTTTTTCCAACCCAGTCTAGCCGGGAGAAATTTGTTTCCTCCGACACCCAAAAGGGGATGGTGGTTACTTTTTCTTGGTGGCTGGTTTTCTTCATGACTTGAGGTTTGGGGGCTAAAAAATCACCAACTTACTGGAGGAGGGAGAGATGAAGTAGGAATGTGGGAGGAGAAGGTGAAGATGCCTAAGAGGGGAGTTTGGTCCTATTTCTTAACAATGCCCTTCGTTTTCTATTTTTCAACAGCTTTTAGACCAAAGTTGTGCAAAGTTCTGTACACTGAACGAGAAACATAGTCCTGGGGAAGTCTATTTAAGAACCCCTAGCAGAGAAGGAGTCTGGGGTCCTAGAGAAGAAAAAGAACCACTCCGCAGGTTCCCTTCTTTAAGGCCACAAATAATCAGTCTTTTCCCCACTCTGGGTTTTTTCTTTGGTTTAACCCCCAATTCTAATATGGGGTTTGAAGGAGGTGGAGAACCAGGACAGGGGACAGAAAGAGCCTCCACCCATTCCTTCTAGCCTTCTTACCAAGGGAATTCATTAAATGGTCTTTCCAAGGGCTGGTAGGGAGGAGCAAGGTCTGACTATGAGCCAGAATCTCCCAACCAGCTTTGCCAATACCTCCAAGCACTCTCTACCTTGCCCTTCCCGCCTTCCATCCCCAAAGTCTCTAGTCCAGAGAACTGAGGCAAGTATCAAATCTTACAAGACAGGAACCTCCCAAAGCCTGTCCAGATTCGTCCAGGGAAGACACTGTCCCAGCTGAGTACAACAAGCCTCAGCATCTGGGAGGCCAGGTACAGCGTGGCAGGGGCAGCAGGGAACAGAGTGTGGGAAATCCTGGGTTTCTATAAAGTTGTTCAGGAAGAACCCAGATCTCTGAAGAAAGGGGATAGCCTAGGGAGATTGGGGGGCCTCTCCCTACCCCTTCCACTCCTCGCTGATTCCTGAGTATCGGCCATGACGGATGCTCCTCTGGCTCAGTCCTGGGTTGTCCTTCGTTGGTAGTGGGTGGGGAGTCTGGGTTCCCCCAGAATCCCAGAACAGGGGTTCCCCCTCAGTACACAGCCCCACTATTAGGTGGGGGGCCAGGAGAAGTGTGATGCAGGGTGGCAGGTGGAGGGGGTTGCTGTAAGTGAGGTCCGCTCAGGTTCTGAGTGTGATACCAGGAATTGGTGGGGTCGTCCAGGTAGCTGGGGGAGGCGCTATAGGGGAGCGGTGGGGGTAGCTGGCTCCGGGCTGGGGCCGAGGTGCTGTGGGAAGAGGTGTCCCAGAGGGCTGGAGAGGGGGGAGAGTTGCAAGCCATGGAATCGCTGTTGTTGGGACTATGCTCCAGGGGTACCTCCCCATTTTTGTAAAGCTTCTTAAACTTGGACCTACGGTTCTGGAACCAGATTTTTACCTGGAACAGAAAGGGGGTATCAGTTAGCACAGAGCCAAGAAGAGGTGGGACATGGGCAAGGGGAATGGGGAGTGCACTGGGACAGTGGCATTCTCTCTCATATCAAATACCTTTATACACTCAGAGATACACAGATACATACTTACATACATCTACAGGCACAAATACCGCCCCCCCCAACTATATACACACAGACAAATAGTAACATACACAGGCACATACTGAGAGAAATTTAACCACACTCACAAACATAAATGTGGATACATATAGGGATTCAGGAATTATTCATGGGGGGGAGTGACTTGGGGACCCTTATATGCCCTTCCAAGCCTCAGGGAGCAGGTGAACAATGACTCCCCAAATTCCCCTTAGGGCATCCCCCCTCCTCCCTGACACTGCTCCCCACCCCATGACACTGACAAACAATGATTCAGCTCTCTCACTGGGTGACCCAGATTCCCAGCAGCTGGGCCCCACGCAGCGTCCCACCTGTCAACACTAGGAGGGAGCCAGGCGTCCCGCAACCCTCCCCTCAGGGGCACAGTGCTGCTGCCAGGATAGGGTGGGAAGGGCCCTGAATAGTCCCCAGGTCTCTCAGGGGCCTCTTTGAGGGGCATCGAAACCGTGTAGGGGGCTTTGGAGCCCAGCCTCTCAACTAGGTCAAGTTTCTTGCCTTTTCTCACAAGTCTCTCCTTCCTGCCCTGGGTTTGCAGGGGCAAGGGAGACATAGCTCGGTTAGGTGGCAGTAGGTGTTTCTGGGGCCTGGAGCTAGAGGTTCCCCTTTCTGTGCAGTGACAGTGTGGTTCACTGGCAAAAAGCAGTGAGTCAGAGGACCTGAGTTCAAATCCTGACCCTGTCATTTACTACCTATGTGACCTTGGGAAAGTTATATCACTTCTCTGGATCTCAGTTTCCTCATTTGTAAAATGAGGGGGGTTGGACCATGTGATTTCTAAGTACTTTCCAGTCCTAAATCTATGAAAATTCTATGAGTCACCAAGAATGTGTTGGGGACACAGCAGAGATATAGATGCAGAATATACATGTATATATATTCATATACATTTATATACACACATCTATAGATAGACACATGTCTACATTGCTACTATATACATTCAATACACACATTAGCGTGCAGATACATGTATGTATACAGGCATGTTTGTACTCTTACACACACAATAGATATGTGCACACCCATGCATGCGTAGTCCAATCTCGGGAATGCCGTGGAATGGACCCTGGTTAGGTAAATGATCAGGAATTCTTGGATCAAATGGGGAAGGATGGAAATGCCTGTTGGGGGGGCAGTTAGTCCCCCTCACTGTTTTTTGTTCCATGTCAAACACATAAATATACATGTACCCACATGCAAATACTCAAATATGAACGGTCATTCTAATACTAATATGAAAGCACCACACTCAAAGACAGACATATAGCCCTCAGTAATTAAGAAGGAAAAGGGCTGTCCATAGATCTCCATACTTAAATTGCTCCCCATACACCTTTCTCTTCTGCCAGAACTATGGTGGGGAACCCAGACAGCTAGAGTGCACCCCCCCCCCAAATTCTTGGTGCACAAAGATGAGAGGTCAGAAAGCAGGAACGTCTCAAATGAGGGTAGCACGGGATACAGCTGCAGCTATGGGAATCTGGAAACAGTGAAGCCTTACTTGGGTCTGGGTGAGGCCCAGCTGGGCAGCCAACTCGGCCCTCTCCGGCAGTGCCAGGTACTGGGCCTTCTGGAAGCGGCGCTGTAAGGCCGCCAGCTGGTAGCTAGAGTAGATGGTTCGAGGCTTCCTGACCTTCTTGGGCTTCCCATTCACCATTCGGACCTCCGGCTCCGGCTCCTCCTTCACCGACACTGTAGGGGGGGAGGGAGGAGCATGGGTCAGCCTCCAGAGATCCCTCACTACCCTCCCCTCTTCTGGGATTTCCCCAGCTCCTGAGCCTCTGTGCACCGGGGCTGGGCAAAAGGAGCACCCAAGGGAGAGAGCTGGGGCCAGGCCGGGCTGAGTTTGCAGACTTGGGTTGGGTCCCAGGGCCGCCCACAGCTCGGAGCTCCCCATCCCGTCTGGGTGTCTCTCCAGCTGAGCAATCTATCCGTGGCTGGGTGTCTCTCGGGCTCGCCCATAACTAGTTTTACAGTATCTTCCTTCTTTCTCACCCTTCTCTGTTGTCTTTTTGGAAACTCTGGGCACTTTCTTTCCCTTTCTTACCGTATGTCTCTTTCACAACTTCTCCGCTCTGTGTTCTGGTCTCTTGTTTTGCTGCGTCTCTACCGTACTCTCTCCCCTTTCCCTACATCTCTCCTTTTTTATAGCCAACTCATTTTCTTTCTCCTTTCCCCTTCTCTCTTCGTTTTCGATCTCTCTTTTTCTTCTCTTTCTGTCTCCCTCATTAAGCGGTTTTTTTCTTTTTCCTTTCTCCTTTTTTCCTCTTCTTTCCTCCCCATGGTTTGTTTCATTTCTTCCTTTAATCTCTCTCCCTGCTCCCCCTCCGCCCCATGACCCTCACCGCCCTCCCTTCTTCTTCAGTCCTTTCTCTCAGCCCTTTTTTCTTTCCTTGGCTCCCCGAGCAAGCACTCGGTCGATCTCCAGAGTTACTTCACTCTGCCCAACCCCAAGGGCCCTCCTACACCTACCATTTTTCACTTAACTCTACCCTTATCGCCCTCACCCCCACTCCCCACCGTGCAGTAGCCGCCCGCTCCTAGCTCTAAGCAGTGTATTTCTCTTGCTTCGGGGCTTGATCGCCTCTGGATCGTATCCCCATTTACCTGGATCCTGGGCTGGCAGCGGCTGCTCCCGGTAAGCCCCATATTGCCGATAGGAGGCTCCATAGGTGTATTCCGATTTGGGCGAGTAGGCGCCAGTGCCTGCAAGCCCATTAAGATTGAACTGATGGTGGTAGGCGTAGGGATTCACCGCCTGCCCATAAGGTTGACCCGTGTAATAGTCGTGCTGTGGAGCACTGTAGTAGCCCAGGTCCGTGACGGAAGACTCCGGTAAAGTGGGGGAGTCCTTGGAGCCAGCATGGCAGCTGAGTGAGCTGGAGATGTCCGTGAGGATGCTGCTGAGCTTGCGATCCAAGGAGCCACTCATCGCTGCTGGGTGACTGGCGCCGCGCCACCCCCGAGGTGGCTGCAGCCCGGGCCAAGCGAGCGCGGGGGAGGAGAAGAGGCGGAAGGGGGGGGGTCGTGAGTAGAAGGGGAGGGGAGGCGGGGTCCTCTGTGTCGCGGGTCTCCGAGGGAGGAGGAGGCCGAGGGGGTCTCTCAGATCATCGCCTGGTCCGGCGTTAGGTGCCTCTCTCGTCCCGCGTCTCAGCCAAATGCTGCCAGCTCCGCCCGGCCGGCTGGTTATGGGCTTAATTGCGGAGTCAGGGAGGGTGGATGCTGCTCGCTGATTGGCTGAAAGTATTGCCTTGAAGGCAAAACACTTCTGTCTCTCTGTCTCTCTCTGTCTCTCTCTCTGTCTCTCTCTCTGTCTCTCTCTCTGTCTGTCTCTCTCTCTCTCTCTCTCTCTCTCTTCTCTCTCTCTCTCTCTCTCTCTCTCTCTTTCTCTGTCTCTGTCTGTCTCCCACTCTTTGTTGTTACCCTAAACACATACATACACACGCCTCTTAGTCCTCCTCCAGTCAGTCTCATGCCCCCCCCCATAAACCTGAAGTGCCTCTGAAATGTTATGTCGGCTGTTGGGCGGGGGCATTAATAAAAAGGAGCTGGAGGGTGGGGAAGGGTGGGCAGGGGAACGGTGTTTAGAGCCCCTGAAAGTGACCACGTGTGCCTCTGTCGGACTGTGGGCTTCATTGTGGGCCTAGCTCTGTGCGTATGTGTATACGTGTGTGGCGGAGGCGGGGAGCACAGTCCCTGTACGATGTTTATTAAGGGTGATGTGCCTGAGTGCACATATGTCCGTGTGCTTACATGTATGTGCTTACACGTATGATATATCTACAACCAAGTATGTGTGCCTGTGTAAATTGAAGACAGCCAAATGTGAGGGAGAGGTCTACAGAAAACGGGGAGAGGGCCCACCAAAGCTCTAGGGAACAGGTGGACCTTCTAGGTTCTTGTCATCCTGGGGATGGGGAGAAAGGTCTTATTGAGGGGAGATGGGATGTCGTGTGTATGTGTGTGTGTGTGTGTGTGTGTGTTGATCACAGAATCATAAATGTAAAGCTGGAAGAGACCTCAGAGACCAACTAATCGAACCCTCTCATTTTATAGATGAGGAAACTAAGGTTCAAGTAGATTAAGTGATGTGCCCCAAAGTCACACAGGTTGTGTCTGAAGTATAGGGTTTCGGAAGGTAACGATAATTGGAGTAAAAGATGCTACTGGAGAAAATCAAGGGAAAGAGTGGGGTAGAAATGGCAGTGGGGTGTGCTTAACTTGTGTATTTGAGAGAGCGGATATTGGGACATTTGCTTTTGTTACTTGTATTTCTGGAGAAACTGTGAATCTGGAATGTGTCTATATACAGGGTATCCCAAAATAATTTTAAGCTGTTATAGTTAAAAACCTCACTAACACTTTTGGGACACCTGGTATATAGGGAATGAGCCTGTAGGGTTGTTCTTGTTTCTGGTTTGCCTGGGGAGGTGTAGAGATGTGTTAGTGGGTACGCTAGCTGGTGGTCTGTGTCTGCCTGTGCGTTGGTGCTTGGGGGGGTGCTCTTTGTATTTAGGTGAATGGTGCATGAATGTGGGCACGTATTGGTGTGTGTGTGTGCGTGTTTGTGTGTTCGTGTGTGCATGTGTGTGTGTGTGTGTGTGTGATTTGTGAGCAAAATGGAAGGTGGGCATCCAGACGGAAGAACCCTGTGTTACTGGGTGCAATTTAATTTATGCATATGTCTGAGTGGGGATGCATGTATACACAGGGTTCAGTACATCAGGATGTAGGCACAAGTGTGGGTAACCAATGTGTTATCTGTACGCGTCGCTGTCTGGGTGTGTGTACAAATGTCTCGATCTTTTCCCAAACTCATTTTACTTAGAGACGCGACCTAAGCCCCAAACTCCTTCCTTACCACCACCTGCCCTGATAAAGAGTCTTTCTCCCTCCTTCCTCTCCATCCTCCTCATCCCAGTGTCCCTCAGCACCCCCACGCTTTCAAGGGCTTGGCTCCCTCTATTCCATCCTATGGGGAGGAGACTCTGGGATGTTCTGAAGCCATGAGACTTGGGGATATTCTCTTCTTACTCCTCTCTCCCCCAACCTAACCTTCCCCCACCCCTCAACTCATTTTCTTAATGCCCAGACGTGGGGAAGCGGCAGGAGCACGCAGTGCAACTCTGCCACCTGCTGGTTATTCTTGGTACTGCATCTCAGCAGGGACTTCAGCTTCCTCTCCAAAGTTGGGAGCAGAGGGAGGCTTAGGCATTAGTCCTGCATCTCTGTGAAGCATGGCAGGGTTGGGAGTTGGGGTGGGGTGGGGTGGGATGGGATATAGGGGTGGAAGAGATTTTGAAACCCTACTTCCCGCCATATAGAAACACGAGAATAAAGTTCTATGACTCCCCTCCATCTCCTCCAAAAGAGCCAGACCAAATATCCACTGGCAGGAAATAATTTAAAAATGCTTGAAGATTCTTCTCTTCTCTTCCCTTCTCTTCCCTTCTCTTCTCTTCTCTTCTCTTCTCTTCTTCTCTTCTCTTCTCTTCTCTTCTCTTCTCTTCTCTTCTCTTCTCTTCTCTTCTCTGTCTTTTTAAGCGAGGGAAACAGTTCAGAAACGGGAGGGAGACGTGCTTCAGCTTTTAGGACAGAAGGACAAGGGACTGATCCCCTTTCCCTGGGGCGCTCTGCTGCGTGGGAAAGGTGGGGGCGCGGGGAGTGGGGGTGGAAACGGTATCTGTCTATCTCCGCGTCCCCCCAGCGCCTATCGCCCGCCACTCGAAGCCCGTGGCGAGGCGAGTTTCCACCCGCTCGGGGTGCCCTCTGTTCTGCTGCCAACCGGGCGCCAAGGGAGCCTGGGGCATAGGGTGCGGCGCAGTTTCCCCTTCCCGGGAAGTTGGACGAGTGGGGGAGCTAAAAACCGAAAAGAGTTTTGGGACAAGACAAGGGTAGGGGTGAGGGGAAGCGGTATGTGTGAGGGAAAAGGGACCGACAGGGGTGCATCCGAGAGCCTCCTCCCCCTTCCCCGACACTCTGGAAAAAAAGGAGGCAATGCACACGCAATTTTCCTGGAGGGCTCTTGAGAAAAGAGGGAAGGTGGGATTCAATCTCAGATTCTGCCTTCCAAAGTGTTAAGGAGGAAATTGGAGGGCCCTTGGATACAGAAGTTGAAGATACTTTAGAAATTATTTTACAGATGAGGAAACTGAGGCCCAGAGAGAAGACAGTAACTTGTCCAAGGTCAGGTATCTAGTAAGCAGGCACCTGGATATTTAGGTTTTCTGATGGTCCAAATGCAGTCTTTTCTGTATATCACAGAGGTCCCCTTTATCACTAGCTGCCCCCATCTGGCTGCCCCTCTGCTAAAGTATCCTTCTAGGCCAGTTTTTGGATGTGAGGAATGAGAGGAAATTCCCTGTGTTCCTACTTACCCTCCTCAGCACTTAGGACTCCCCAGAAATAGGCCCAAGCTGAAGAACTGGGAACTGGAATTAAATCTATGCCAGAACTTTGAAGATCTGTGATTTCATCCTTCTAACTGAGAGAGTAATAGTCCTTTTACCTTTCTTTCTGTTGGCAAGCGCCTCTGAGGTGAGTAAGGCTAGACCTCCAATGACAGTCCATGCCTAGCCTGTACTCAAAGCCTTTCATGTTTGGTAACACCTGCCAGAGCTTTCGTTCTGTTGGCACAGCCTCCAAGAAGCTGGCCATAGAGCAAGACTTATAGGCAATGGCACTGGGCAGGGTGGTGAGCTCAGAACAGTGCACTGAAATTGAACAAGCCCATAGAACAGAGTCTTTCCTTTCCTTTCCTTGTCCACAACACATGCCAACTTATGTGCCATTTGTACCCACCAATTGCTACTATTTCACTGAAAGCCCTTGCCAGTTTTGATAGGGCATCCTTGTCCAGGTTGAGCATGATCAGGCAATACCCTCTGAGATATAGACAGGGTCCCTACTGTTGAAGGTGATTTCTTCCTCCTCAAATTGTCTTTGGGATCTTTGCCTCTCCCTTTCATCTCTCAGGCTCTACTTTTTATCATTCTAATTATATAAGTGTGGTGTGTGTGTGTGTGTGTGTGTGTGTGTGAGAGAGAGAGAGAGAGAGAGAGAGAGAGAGAGAGAGAGAGAGAGAGAGAGACAGAGAGAGAGAGAGACAGAGAGAGAGAATTCCCCTCTCCCCCATCTAGAGGACTATAGGCTGCTTGAGGTAGAGACGTTATAATTTTTCACTTTTGTGTCACCAGTTTTTAGCACAGGGCCTGACACGTAGTGGTGTTTAATACATAATTTTGAATCAGATTGGTATGGAAAAGGTTGCCCTGTCAAGGCTGGGCAGGAGCTTTCATTGAAGTGGTAGCAGTGGGTACAAATGGTACAAAAGTGGGCATGTGAGGTCAGGGGCACAAGAACTACTGGCCAGTTGTGAATGGAATATGTTGAAATGAGCCCTATAGTCTCCCTTAACCTCTCTGTGACTCAGTATCCTGATTTGTTAAATGAAGGGGTTGAAAGGCCCCTAAGATCCCTTCCAGCTCTAAAATCTGGGATCCTATGATCCTATCAATGGCGGGCTGATAAGGACTGCCAGGTGATGGAGTGGGACTGACGCCACTCACACTGCCCAACCTGGGGCAGGGCACCTCACTCTGGGCCAGCAAGATGAACAGGTCCTAGCTCTAAAGTCCTGTTCACCTTTGAAAGGGCTCTGGAGATGTGGGGCAGTGGGAAGGCAATATGGAGAAATCCTGGCAAAGCTGATGTCTGTGCTGGGGCCATATTCACTGAGGTTCTGGGAGGACCTCATGTAAAAGAATATTAGATGAAGGGGAGCACAGTTGGCATAAGGAAGGCATGGGTTAAGCAAATGCCAATGGCTTTGAGCGCAGATCCAGGGAGGTGGCCCCAAACCCTGCCCACATTCTCCTGGGCATTGGGCAAAGCTATCACAGGGGCCCAATTCAGATGCCAATGGGCAGAAATGACCTAATTCATTAGTGCCCATTTGCACATAGGGCAGTAAGCCTGGTGATGGGCTTGTATGCAGAACATTAGGCAGGGCACCATCTAGACCCAAATGAACCAGATCTTGCCAAAGGAAGGGTGTTATGAGAGAGGCAGAGGTGTGCTACAGAATTGGGGAAGAGAAGAGAGTAATATCATGAGCGCCTTGACCCACCTTAGTGTCAGATGTTCACAGTGTTTGGGCAAAGACAAATA